AGAACTTGTATCGAAATGCCGCCACGAAAACAAGCACTACCTCCGAACAGCTACTCCGACGTCCGCAATAACCTAACTTCATACTACGTCCGCACAAGCAAGTCACATCACCACACAACGTTCACCTTTCATCAGTTGCCTGACGATCGCAATAGCGTGAAACTCCGAGTAGCAACATTCTGTTCCAGCGACCTCCAGTTCTATATATATATATATATATATTAGCATAGTTGATTACCATTTGAAGACCAGCAGTAGTTACGCTTAAAAGAAGTAAGTCATCGGCATAACAAAATGCATTGAAAGTTGAATTTGCAATGACAACACCACATTCGAGAGCATTTAATCCATCAACAAGATCTTTGTAAAATAAGTTTGTACTAGTACCCTTACAAATGTTAATTTGACTACCATATTTATTGTTCCACTTAACATTAACAGTTAGGTTTGTATACCATGACAATAGAAAGCGCCACCATTCATCATCGATTTCGACATTTAGTTTTTCAAAATATTATGTCGTGAGGTATAGCATCAAAGGCTCCTTCTGCATCTAAAGCCGGGTACTCGCTGCGCGCGACGGCGACGGCAGCGCGACGACGAACGCACGCGCGGAACCAATGGACCGCTTTTTTAATAAGGATCCGTTCAGACTGCCAATGACAATCAACAGACGGCGTTACGTCGTCTACCGCTCGCCGGAAGCACAGGTGGATTCGCCGTACGACGGTCGTACGACGCAGTGAGTGGCAGGTTTAAAGAACAAGCAAAGACTTGTGAGCCTTGGTTAATGCTATAATTATTTGCATCGTGAACAGTCGCAGCCATTGCTGTATCTCTACCATTTACGAACCCAAATTGCAAGGGATTTTAGTTTACATTAGCACATGATTCTAAGAAACCGAGTTCAAAAAGTTTAGTAATTACGTTTAGAGACAACAATTGGGATAGTTTATAGGTTGGAATGGATCGACATTTGGTTTTTTCAGAATTAGTATAATACTGTAATACCCTCATAAAAATTGCAAGGAACAACACCGTAGTTAATGCAAAGATTAAACAATTTAGCAAGGATATCTGGAATATTTTATTATGTTTAGTAAGGTGATTAGCAGTGATTCCATCGGGGCCAGGTGCAGAATTTGAATTAAGCTTGGAAATATGTTTAATGATTAGGTCCGTTAAAATGAGACAAGTTAAAGACATTTTCATTTAACGCTAGTTGCTTAGCGGATACAAATTCATTTGCAGATTGCATTTGAGCACTATTACAGTTATTTATGTCAAATTTCGATTTATAAAATTCAGTAAGTTTATAAACAGAGATTGAATCCATGTTACGGTTATCGACTCTTGCAATCGTTAACCGCTTTCCAGATTTTTTTGGGATTCTTAAGCATATACAGTTTATTCAGGGAGTTACCGTACACTTTTTTGCATACTGACCGCCTTTCTGCAGATACGCCTATAATCTTTTTTAGATTGCTTGTTAACAAGAGAAGACCATACCAGACCTGTTTCTGTTGCATTGGGTCCAAAGGGATAAAAAAAAAACCTCTGACGATTCCGAGGAACGGTGGAATCCGAGTTCCACCAATTTACCCTCTTTTTTTTAGTGCATTCTACCGGTATGACAATCAGAACCAGAGAGCTTAACAACGTTATGGATAGTTAATTTTATTTTGTTGATAATTGTATTGACAGTGGTCTAGGCAGATTCTTGTTGCCGCAAGATAGAAGAGAAATATCAAAACCTAACTCATTAGCACGTAACCAGTGTTCAGACAGATAAATAATATCACAATTATTGTCATTAATAAAACTATTTAAGGAATGTAAGCCACTTTTAAGCCCAAAACAATTGAATGATAAAACATTAAAAACTTGTTGGTCGTTATTCATTGCACAAGAGATTTAAATAACTCGTTGAAATCATTCAAGATAAAAATATAATTGATTATTTAATTATAATTTCTTACTCAGTTTGAATATCCGTTCTGATGCTGTCGGAAATAGAAATAGAATGGAATAGGATGTTCTTGCACCATTTTGTCGAGGAACAAAGTCCCTAACCCGGTAATCTATTCGGCCACAGCGTATAGTTCATAATAATTGCTTTATCAGCAGCATGCTCAAGCACGATACAAGAATGAGGCCGGAGAGTTGGGTTTATTTCGTTTCTTTAAGGAGAAAATGTCTGCGATTGCTGTCACTCCAATGTCATTGTTTGGATTGCGTACTTGTTTTTCAGTCGTTGCCTGGTGCAAACCTCCAACGAAGATGTGATGAATTGGTGAGGGCTTTTCATATGCACGAACGCAGTGCTTTTGAATATTGCGTCTCTGTCTGCTTTGTAGTCGAAAATTAGCGAAGTCACAGTCAGTTATTCCATCAGCTTGATTAAGATGATCAGTTGTTTCGGGTTTCGGGAGTTGAATCCTTATCTCTCTGTGATCTTGTACAGAGCCTTCAGCCATACATTGATTTGGTTTAACAGTCAACCTGAGTGATGCAGTAGGTTTCTCTATATTCAGTATGTGGGTGTATGGGCGGGACATCGATAACACTATTGCTAGCAATAGGTATATTGGAACGTATCTCCTTAATCTCGCTTTGTATGTTGCTCAACGTCTTGTTGAGATTTTTATTATTTGTATTTTCGTCATGCACTATCCGAGATTTAAGGTCGGCTACTTCAACTCGATTCTTTTACAGTGTCATTTAAAGACTCTCGGTGAGATTTCACAGTATCACTGAGTTCAATATTAAAGCCCCATTCCCGGCAAAATTTCAATTTTTAAGAAAAATCTAATTTTTGTATAATGTTATAAAGATTTATAAATATAATACGGAATTGCTAGTTTAACTGAATTTAGACATTCCTA